TTTTACTAATTCTCATCTCCTAGCTTCCAGCCAAATCGGAAAAGCCCTTACTAAAATATCGGCATATCTTAGAAAATATATTTCCCCGTGCGCGATCGGAGGTACTGTACAGAATTTAATAAAATAGATACAGCTTTATTGTTTTACCAATACATACATATCTTTCAACGTTGAGCCAAATCGATAGAGCCGTTTCTGAAATATTGGAAAAAAACCTAAGAGAATATATTTTCGCGCGCGCAACCGGAAGTACTATATGGAATTTAATTAAATAAATATCGGACCATCTAGGCACCAACCCGCACACTTCCTAAAAAAATCATGAAAATAGGATAAGTGGTAGTAGGTGATAAGCCCGTCACATCGAGTCGACTCCAGACAGACCGACAGACAGACACCGATTCAAATTTGATCCTGTCTGAAACGTAAAACGCGAATGGAAATTTTCGATTCAGATCACAAAATTTGTATTAGCCTCCCGCACGAATACAAAGCTTCCCTACTTTTAGTGGGGGTAGTGAGGAAGCAAAAAATAAAATATTCCTATAATTATCTTCATTATTTCCTAAAGGTGTTTTTTTGTCAGAACGCTATATCTTTCTCAAATCCATCATAAGGAATGGTAATTACAGCTCAACATTTTTCAAAATTTTCCAAACTTTGAAAAGCTGTAGTTTAAAATCTATTAAGTTTAATGAGGTGATTTTGGTTTTAAATTGTAGTCAATTTAGTCTATTATAAAAATGGTATAGAATGTTTTTTGTCCATAACGTTCAAAATGGAGATAAGCCGATAAAAATTCGGACATTTAGCTGTACTGGTGATATTCAAAAGTGATCTGGGAGTCTGCTGAGGTGAAAATCGTGTCTTTCACACCTCATACAAGAAAATAAAATTAAAACCTACCACTACTAGATGCAACTTAGACCTTTTTTTTCTGTTGGCTTTACAGACCATGTACAATAGATTGTCGCCTTAACATATCTACTCCATCTCTGCCTGTTTTGGGCTATTTCTTTCCAGTTATCTGCACGCAGCTCTATTGCATTTTGTTGATTATATCTATCCATCTGCTTTTTGGTCAGTTCTTTATTGGTCTTTATTCTCCTATATGGATATGATTCCAGATCGCTCTGGTTGTCATGCGGAGGATTTTTCTCTCAAATCTTTGAACACTTTTTTCAGGGGTGCTAGTTTGTATCTAGGTCTCATAGTCATATATCAGAACTGTTTTTATTACAGCATCGTATACCTTTAATTAGAGATTTTTCGGGATTTCAATATCTTTGAAAGGGAGAAGAAAGTTCTGTTTGCGCTGATTATACGCTGGTCTATTTTTGTCCATTGGTTATTCACTGAGGTCAATGAATCATTAATCACTAGATTAAATATGCTGTGCAAATTATTGGTACAGGTTTAATTGTATTATTTTTATTTATTTATTTGTTGTTACATTCCGCATCTACCCGAGCGGCTAAAAGAGATTATTATTAGTATTTTTTTTTTCTTTTTTTTTTATTCTCGCCTTTGCGGATTCAAAGCTGAAGGTCCAAACAAGTCCAACCACCTGCAGTTATAATATTTTTAGATATTTAAAAATTTTCTTGTAATTCTGGCTGTATCCAAGAGAACCGCTTGCTGAGCCTCTCTTAACACATCCAGGGGTAATTCCAAGCCGTCCGTACCTGTCGCAGTTGACTTTGGGATGAGACCATTGGCTGATATTATTATTGGTCTAACCAATACGCTCTCCAAATGATACAACTCCTTTAATCCGATCGCCAGTTCTTGGTACTTACGGAGCTTCTCTCCCTCGGTCGTGCTTATGTTGTTATCGTTTGGAATCGCGATATCAACTATCTTTGCCTTCTTTGCTCCTAAATCTATAATAAGGATATCGGGTCTGTTGTGACGCACTGTATGATCCGTTATTATAGATTCATCCCAATACATTTTGGGCGAACCCTTCTGAAGCAGCCTTATCGGATTATATTTGTAATATGGCACCTTTTCATCCAACAGGTTAAGTTTCATAGCCAGAGCCTGGTGGAATATTTTCGCCACATTGTTGTGCCTTTGTAGATACTTAATACCAGAGAGTACTCCACATCCAGCTGTGATATGTTGGATTGATTCGTTTATTAGTATTATTATTATTAGTATTATTTTAATTTTACTCTCTTATGAATCACTGGAATATTTCCTAATTTGAACAAATGACTATTCTTAGTGTGATAGTTTATGAATGAACCCTCCTAAAAACCTATTTTTATTTATCTTTTAAAGACTGGTGAATTCTAATGAAATGAGATGAGATGGTAGAAACAGTTGTATAAAAGTGTAACGAGACAAACAAGATGAAGTGGGCGAAGAAAGTAAATTAAAATTAAAGAGCGGGAAGGTGGACAGACCAAGGAGCCGTTCCATTATTGACTGCCTCCCCTTCTGCTCTGCTACTCTGCTGCACTACAGCTCATTACTATTCTAGTCTTCTTCCCTTTGTGGCATTTCTTCCTCCGCAGGGCTGATTTAAGGAAGACCTCTTTTAACTTGTTCCTTTGGCGAGTCGATAACTTCCAGCCTTTGACAATCATCTCTACCTTATGTTTTTGTAAGTCCAAAGACAGAAAGGAAGATAGATAAAGGCATGAATAAATATATATCTTTTTAATAAGTTCAAAGAGAGAAAACAATTTTTTTTATTATTATTTTATATTATTCAACTTTTTTTTTTTCATTATGTTTACTTCATCATTCCACACTTTGAACCGCTTTTTATCATTTATCTCTTTGTTCTTACTATTGTCATTATTCTAACAACTGAATTTTGCTTTAATTTTTTTTACCTAAACTACTTATGTTTCTCATGCCTTGTTATATGGTTCTTTTCTTAGCCCTGATGATGGCCCGAACTTCAGCTTGAAACGTCGGCTAATGTCAAAATAAATAGTATCATTTATTTTTGCCTTCTTATTTGACTGATCACCCCAACTATTCTTCTCTCCATTATTCACGACAGTCAACCATTTACCAATTATTTTATATATCAATCTTAAGACAAATAAACATTATCTTCAATCAATAATGCTCACTGTTGTAAAAACAAAAACACTCAATGACAGAGGTGCCTAGAAAGTGCATAAGTTGTGCCATAAAAAAATTGTAGGATACTTTTTTAGGGTATAATGGATTTTTGGAGGGAATTTTGATTTGGTGGAATTTTCAAACCACAAAACAGATAATAGACCACAGCAATTACATTTATACAGCGTGTCTTGTAAGTAGAGCAAAATATTTAAAAGGATGGTAGTAGACATCAAGATCTACAAAAAATGTTATTATAAATAATTTCCAGCTGAAAATCAGAAAATTTAAGAATTTTTTTGTAAGAGTCACATTTATTGATGAATAGAAAGCGATAACTATAAAATTATTTAATTTATGTAATTAACTGTGTTTTATTTATTTTATTATCATTCGGATTTAATCTGTTATTTTATTTATCTTGTATATTACTTTATCTTTTTTTTTTTTTTTCTACTTTGGTTATTTATATTTATTTTATTTTCTTATGTACATATTGTGTGAATGAATACTATAGCTCTAGTACAAATACCTTTCAATGTGGCAGACTGTATTAATACTCAATAAAATCATTTAAAAAAAAAAGTAATTAATGATTGCTTCGCAGTAAAATAGACAAAATTTATTTTATAGGTCATTGTTAACACCATCTAAATAGGTCGTTTGAGCAGATAAACTAAGCTAAATTCTGTTTTTAAAAAATTATGAATTATTAGCAATTTTTTTATCACCATCCAACTATACAACAGATACCCTAATTTTTAAAAAAGTTCTTTATTGTAATTTATTTCATTTAATGAAAGAAAAAAAAGGAAATTAAAGCTTTGCAATAATTTATTGTAATCATTTTTGCTGAGAACATGAGCACTTTTAGATGAAAAGATATCACCTCATTTTTTTTACACGACTTGAGGTGAATCTCAACTTGTCTTCTTAAAAGCTTCATCTCAATCAATATGTTCTTAAAGTAATAAAACAAAGATTTTTTTCTAAAAAGTGAGGTATCTGCTGTATACTTGGAGGATGATAAAAAAAAAAAATGAACTTAGCTTAATTTATCAACTCAAAAGTTCTCTTTAAGTGGTTTTAAAAATGTCAAATTCTACTCTAGTTTGAAGTAAATTTTGTCAATTTTGCTATGAAGCAATTTTTGATTACTTAAAGTAAATATTTATTTAATTGTTACTTCCTATTCAAGAAAAATCAGACTTAATTAAAAAACAACACAAAACTTATATTTCCTACTTTTCTGCTGAAAATCTGACCATTGTTTATTGAACTTTTTTGTAGCACTTAAGGTCTGCTATTGCACCTTTAAATAATTCCCTCAACTTCTGAGACACCCTTTATAAATAAACAACATGCTATATAATTTAACATTCACCTGCACTTTTTTTATGAAGAGGAGAGGAACCTAATTTCATGGGAGAGGGCATGCACTATCATCGTTAAATGGGAGATGGACATTTTTACTCACACTGGCCTTCATGAAACTAATGTAATTTTTTAAATTTTTAACAGTGAACTCACCTTGATTTTTAAATAACTTTACCACTACCAAAAATGATAATTTGCGAATATTGACAACTCTATACTATACCCTAGCAATAATTAAAAAACACCATTTATTATTTTTTAAAAGTAAGATGAATGCTTGGATGGTAGATACATTGGATAAAAGAAAATTTTTTAAAGATTATGACTCTATAAATATAATTAAAACATACTGACTCTTCTATTCATAATTTAATAGAAACGCTAATATACTACAATCAATATAACAAAAATATCCTGTTCAATAAACCTGCAATTGTTCACTAGCCAGACAATATTATTGAAAACAATTTTTATTGTATTAAGATGCAATAATTAAATAGTTGGTTCACATTACCTTAATTATTTTATGTTTGTTTCAGGAAGCAACACGTCTGTCTCTGGTCTCGGGTGATCAATGCACCTATGCAAAAAGCATTCGAATAATGGGTGACATATATAGAAAGAAGTCTGAAATAAGTGTAAGATATTTTATATTTTAAAAATGTATCTATCCAGAGATACTTCATAGCTAGAAATTATAGTTGGAATCTTAAATATATAACATATTTTTTATTTTACAAATCAGTCCTGCAACTGGCCATGAAGTTTATTGGAATAATCCGCTTAGTATTGGACAATACAAAAAACCTCATCAAATGAGTGATTTTCGGAATAAGTAAACATATGAAACATTTGTCAAACCACAAAAATCATTTCTCTCAAAGACAAAGCCATTTATTATTATGCTCTTCAATTAACTTAAAACAGCACTTCCTTATAAAGAACTCAACCCAAGATGCTCCTTTGTGACCTATTTTTTTTTTAGCAATTTAAATTATATAAATTTTCTGATTATATAAAATGACAATATAGGTTACTGATAAACTTCACCAAAAAAAAATGTTTTTAAATATTTATTGCCAACAATACAGCACACATGCTAATCTTTATGGCTATCAATAATAGTATACAATGAAGATGTGATGATAGAAGAATATTAAATAAAAGTGTTCAAATGAAATGGAGAAAAAATAACGTTAGTACAAAGGAAATTAATAGCTAACATCTGAATGAAATGAATTTAATATTGCAAATAAATTCAACCAAATAGGAAAAAAAGAGGAAGGAAGAAGGTAACCACCTAAATATAAAAGTAATAAGTCAGCAAAGGGAATATCTACTTATTGTATGAAATAAAATATAAAACTATGAGGGACATACTAAACAATATATAAATATAGTGAGGTATCTCAATGACTAATTTCTTATCTCCAGAACTCAGGTTTTGGTTCAGTTGTGGCAGATAAGTATTTATTCTGATACATCAGTCATTGATCTTGTGACACTGGGGCACTCTCAGGCTGTATGAAGAAAGAAAAAGCCAGACCAAATGAACTTCTTGAACGACCAATGGGCCAAGAAACGGAACAGTTTTGGTAAAACTCAGTCTCTAACAACAATAAATGAATAAATAAACAGTAAATGAAGAATAAAAAAATGGAAATAAGGGTGGGATGAGAGTAAATAGGAGCAACTATGTTCCAAATAATCAAACAAATGAAAAAAAAAAAGTCATCATTAATCAAAATAAAATACATTATAATAATTACTTAAAAGGAGAAAAAGTTTTAGGTTAGAAACAGTATAATAAAAGTTATTGCTGTTATAATAAACTTAAAATTTATCTACAAGTGAGAGAAAATTCTTCCATCCATTTACTACTGAACTTGTTGCAATGACCAATTCCCAAACTATTTTATATTCCTTATAGCAACAAATGTTTAGATTATTAATATTTACATAGATGTGTGCAAATAAATATTTCATTTTTTTTACAATAAAATTCAATCAATAAATTAAATATTAGTAGAATACTGAAGATAACCATTAAATATATGATAACAGCAATAATCTTTGTTTATCAGAATGCCTATCGCCAATATGAAAGTGCCATGAGTACAGCATGCTCTATGGGAGACAGATTATGCCAAATGGAGGCGATGGATGGAGCTGCCAGATGTCTGGAGGCATTGAGACTGCAGCAGAAAATTTGTAATTGCCGACCTCTCGAGTTCAACACCCGATTATTAGAAGTCGCAATGGCTATAGGAGCAAAGGTAAGTGTTATCTCATAACCAGACAATGAGGTTTATCTACTTTCTATAAAAATTATATCATAAATATTATCCATTTATGTTTAGCTGCTCATTCGAACTGTTCGAGTAAGATTATGCAGAATTTACCAAAGCTTGGGCGATGAAGAACATGAAGACGAACATGCCAGAGCTGCCCAAAGGCTAGAGGAGGAGCTAGAACTTCAATGTGGAGCATGCAGTCTTCCATTCGGTTATGATGCTGATTCTTTGGAAGCACTTCCTTGTGCACATATTTTGCATGCAAGGTAATGAGATAGATTTTCTATTTTAAACATAGGTCAACCTGCTTGACTGGGTTTTTTTTTTAAATATTTGTGGAATTCTTTCTACATTTAATATTTAAGATGTGCATTAATTTGCTTTTTTTATAAGTGAAAACTTCTTTAGATGTGCTTTGCTATGTTTTGTTGGCAGTATATGAGACTGAGCCATCATGCTCAGATATGTAACGCTCATTCAAGTAAAGTCGACTAATTAAAGTGTTTTTGCATTTGGATTAAAATATCATAAACAAAAACTTGTACTTGCGTAATGTAAGCCAGGAAAATTGTCTACATTCTATCCTCTTTGTAATGAGCTATAATTCAAAATTGTATTTTGAAGTGACGCCGAGTTAGAGAGTCGGAAAGGGAAGAAGATAGTGTCGAAAACCAAATTATAACGAGTCTTGTTAAACATTAAAATATTTCAAAATTTAAATACCATGGAGAATTCAGAAATCAATTTGTGGAAGACAATATAGTTTTTTTTTTTTAACTTGTCATAAAAACAAGGAAACTATGTTATGTTTTCCTATTCAATTTTTTGTTGCACTCGATACAATTTCAACAAATTTACGTAAGTTATAGTAAAAAAATGTCCAGGTTTTTGTTAAATATTTAGCAAGTAAACTTTAATCAAAATTATTTATTATATATTTTAGTTATCATAAACCTATTGTATCTTTTTTAGAGTATAATACAAATCGTGATCAGTCAGAGCAAAGTTTACTTGAGCAATTTAGACATAATTATTCTTTTATATATTGTAAATGTTATTACTTTGTGAACATAGAAAAAAAAATTATAATTCATATTATTAATCTCACCTTGATGTAACACTGTAGTTTTGTTTTGTTTTTTAATTTATTTTACTCTTTCTTTTACATCTTTCACAATAAAGCACTTTTGAATTTAAACAATTTTCTAAGTAAATTCAATATCAACTTTTTCTTATGTTACAAGCTAATCAGCCTGTCCAAAATGTTAATGCCATGATTATTTTTCTATAATTTAATTTTGTTCTTAAAGGTGCGCTCACGAGATACTTAGGAGGAGAGACAAGAAGAAAAAACGTGTCTGCCCAGATTGTGAAAAATCGGTCAGTTCAAGATTGTATCTGCAATGCGAAGATTCTCATCACTCTACATTCAGTCTGTCAAGCCTACCATTGCATGCCTCAAGTGCTGTCTAGCATAAGTCATCTGTTAGCACAATATGTTAAATTGTGCTAACAGTTATTTTCATTAAAAGACTGAAAATTTACTAAGAAATTCTCTTCTGCTTCAAAGCGTAAAAAAAAAAAAACATTGTAACTAGTTTATACATCTAAATGATGGAGTAACTATGCACATGATATAATTTTAGTCTACTTAATAAACATCTTCAATATTCTCCACTCTATCCTAGAGCCTTATATAGGTATATAGTTTTTTTTCTTTCAAATTCAAAGAAGCAACTCAGCACAGCACAACACAGGTAGACAATTACAACCCCAATAAATTATACAGTACAGCTAATTTCTTTTTTCTATTTTTTATGAATTTTGACTACTCCGTGTTCCTTAAAGGTGTGATACGATCTATTTATGCTGCAAATATTATTTTAAATAATATTTAGTTGATCAAAATGTAGTAGCTGAATAATATTTATACAACAAAAAATGCTTTATGCAATAACTGCATTAAATTTCACTGTTCAACAGTTTGAAATAATCTCACAAATAATAATTCCTGCAGCTTTATTGTCATATTGTTACAAAATATTAAAAAACATTTCTTTTTTTTATAATTTTCAAATAAGACTGTTAGAAAAACAAATAATACTTGTTAACTTCAGTTTTTCCTAATGTAACTAACATTCAAACCTGAATCAAGCATAATTGTTCCTTGAAAAAATCAACCATAAAGATTTTGACATAAAGTTTCAGACTTAAAAGTCGACCGTAAGCTCCAAAAGAAAGTTAATCCAGATCTGGTTCAGAAATGATGTAATGTTGTGACAGTCATTTTAGTTCAACGTAATAGTTGATCAGGGATCATTTTTTATCAAAAGATAATAAAGACTTGGATAATGCCTTGGAAACATGTGTCATTAATACCAAAAAATAGTACTAGCGATGAATATGAACTTTTGGAGAACAGCTAGAACATCCAGAAGGAAAAGAATTAAAAATGAAAGAATACTGGCAGATATCTAAACAACTCTAGCAGATATTGAAGAAAAATATTAAGGTGGTTTGGACAAATTAAAATAATTTCTGGAGAATAAGTATGAGATTGGAAATAGAAAGAAGAATGAATAAAGGAAGACCGAAGGTAAAATGGAAAGACAAGGTGGAAGAAAGCCTGTCAGAATAAGGTAATAAGAGATGAGTAAGCAAGGGATCGAGAACAATTGGAAAATATTCTAAATGACATTTAGGTCAAAGAAAACCTCATTAGTGGCAAATTCCTTATTAAAAAAGATAATAAAGACCCACATAATAAATGAACAAACTGTTTTTTTAATTTTCAGGTTATACTACATAGATATGAAATTTAAATGATAAAAATAATAATATTATCATAAAAAATAACAATTAGATAAGTCACTAAAAATAATATGAAAATAAATATAAATTAAAAGTAATTATAAATTTTGGTTCGTTCTGGCAATGTGCTTTTCTAAGCTAGGAGGGAGTTCAAAAACAAGGATCTTCTCAGATTATATCATTAAAGAAAATTATGGGAATAAATCAAAGAATGTAAGAAAGATAATAAAAAAAAAAAACATTTTTGAGGACTACGTTGAACTCTTGATCATAACATTTTGAAGAATTTGTCAAGTTAATAATACTCAATAATTGATTATTGAAATACTTAATGCAACAATGAGCACTTAAATTAGTATGTTAAACTCCATTATAGAATTCAATAGTTAGCTTCATTTTATACATTATTTCTCTTGGAATTTTTTGTATATTTATGTTTATAGTAAGAACATTCATAAATTGGTATCATATGTCCTATTCACATAAATACTGCCTAATTATCCAATATGAATGTACATTAGATAATTTTAAATATAACTATAGAATAATGGATTTAATTACAATATAAACATATCATAAATGTTTAATTATATGTATATATGTATGTATTTCAAAACAGTTAAATTAATAGTAAACATTTTTATTAAAAATAAACAATTAGTATCAAATTATTTATTTTCTTTCAGTTGGATGCTCATTGATTTTTTTTCCCTTATATGGGAATTAAAACATTGCATAAATGTCTGAGCAGATACATAAAATTAATTTTAAACCAGCCTTAATTATAAATACCCACTGAAAACGTGCTAGACTGCTTTCACTATTTCTTTTTAATAAATTAAATTATAAAAATCCCAATTTATAATTTATTTGAATAAATCTGTAATTTTTTCAGGTCAGGATAGTATGTACATAACTCAATTTATAGTAGCACATTATTAGTTTTACTGAATTATAGCAAGATTTAAATGATATCCGTATTATTATTACTTGTCTTTAAATGTTTCAAGTCAATAAAAAAATATGTATTTGAGTTCCAACAGCTTTCCTCATTTTACAGATATTTTCAAGTAAAAAAATCAGAACTATTATTTCAGTAAATTAAGCTAAATAATTTCTGTAATTAAATTATTTACTGGTTAATTTTCAATTTCCAAGGAATAAACCTTAATTTAGAGAGTTGTCACCTCTCAAGAATAGTTATACTTATATTTGAGGAAATATCAATATTATAAATTATATTTTTGTAGATACAACCCGAAAATTTGACATATTTAATACAATAATAAATACTCCACGTTTTGTTGTGAAATTTGTGAATAATAATATTGTAACACAGCTGGTAGTTTTATATTTCGAATTGTATTATTAACTGTTATACTGTATTATAAATATGAATAATTTAACTTTACTATTATGAAAAAAAAGTGCTTATGGTCAAGCAGACACACTATTTATTGTTAATATATTATAAATGTAGTTATGTGTAAAAATACCTAAATAATATAAGTGATATTTGTAAATAATTTAATTTTTTGGAAGAAAAGTCTAATCGAGTAAGCTAAATATGTGGTATGCAAAAATAATTGAGGGTTCAAGAATGATGTTTGTCATGCTTTATATTGCTCAATCAATTAATGTGTTTAAAAATCTAGCAACGAGGCAGATTGGTTTAGGAGAGGATGAGGATATTAAAAATCTACATAATATTTTTCTATATTACAACTGAAGAAATCATATAGATCATTAAAAGTTATAAAATCTTGAAATGTTTTGTTATTATCAACAAAAATTGGTCAAAGGATAATAGTATCAAAAAAACAAAAAAAAAAAAAACAGTAATACTCCAGAATATTATTAAAAAAGATTAGTTAGTGTTATTTATCGCAAGAGTGTGGCATAACATAACAAATTTTGAGGGGGAGCACATTTTTTCTGTCATGAATGAAATTTCTTGGGAGGAGGTTATGAGCGATCACTCATACAGGGGGAGTTGTTCTAGAGGTAAGACCAATTCTGTTCTAGCCAAAGTGGAATGGTCGAGATTCATTCAATGGGTTTCACCATGAAACAAATTTAACCTGTCCAGGCAGGATCTAAACCAATGCCACTAGACCAGAGAAAGTTAAAGTTTATAACACCTCAACAGGCGCATCTTGTATGATTTTGTTTTAGTTCTGAGAGAGGGGAAGAGGATAAGTTGTTCTAAAAGTAGAACCAAACTTATCCCAACCACAGTGGGAAGGTTGAGATTCATTCCATGGGTCGACTATGAAATAAATTTCAATCCACCTAGGCAGGATTTGAATCAGCATCTCTAGACTCAAGACTATTAAACTTTATGTTTTTACACGTTCAGCCATCACAATCTGAGACCTTTTACACCTGTTCAATAATTTTTAGTTTTTTATACAAGTTGTTCATTCTGTACGCGTCTTTTGTGTAAGATTTTTCTTATTTGTGTTTCCAATCGTTCTTTTAATTAAATTTCATATGAATTTTTTCTTCGCATTTTTCCACAATTTTTTACTTATATATAATATAAGAAATAATTTAATGGCGGAGAAAAGGTAAGCTTTTAAAAAATGATATCTATGAAAAGATAGTTTTATTTTAGAAGGTGAAGAGTCAGTATTTTGGAGTATAACTGCAGAAACAAATTTCATTGCTTTCCCAACATTTAATGGTTTATATGACAGCTCAATTGCGATGATAAGGCTAAACCACAGTGTAACACATATTGTGTAATTGTATATTTTCATATGGATTGTTTCCTATATGTGTACTTACAGACACATAAATTCATAGTAATAAATAAATGTAGTAATTAAAACAGCTCTTAACATTTGAAAAAAAAACATAAAACTTGCTTTTATTATGAAAATAGAGAAGCATGAGCTTTTTTCATAAATTAAAAAAAATATATGTATTGAATTTATAAGTCATGTAGATGTCCTTGACATTTAAGTAATTGTTATTTTTTTAATTAGTTATTTGATTTTTTACAACCTATATTAATGAGGATTAATGAAACAACTTGAAAGTTCAACAATTAATGCTTTTTAATGGAGTGGTTATGATTTTAGCTACAGTTTTATTAAGAAATGCGGTAAAGAGCATTTTAGTTTCAATAATAGTAACCAAATTTCTACATTCTGTCTTTTTTATTTATTTAATTTTTTTTGTAGTATTAAAAGCTATTAATAACTTTAAAAAAAAAAATGAAAATACTCAATATTTCTATTATGTCTTGAGTATGATTCTCTGAAGATCTTTTTTACTATATTTATAAAGTATCGTTCTTATTATTCATTGAAAGGTATTCATAAATAAATAAAAATACAATTAACTCTTCCTGTTATATATTCAGTGTGATTCACAAAAGACTTTAATAATTATTTTAAATGAACACATTTTAACAATCAACATGTAATATGTTATCAAAACTCATAATTGTGGGTCTGTGACAACTATCAGTAGTTTCACTCAAAATTGAGGCTTCTGAAATCTGTATAATTAATGAAATCTATCTATTAATTTTTTAAATCTTAATTTATTTTACTAATACAAATTGAAATTTAATACTTAAATCTTTTTTATCTCCACTTAACACATGACTTATGTTTTTATGAACCTAACCAGGTAAATCCTTTATCAGATTATCAAAATTTTGTCAATTCAATAAATTCTTACATATCTGGAAGATGAATAAAAAACCATGAATCCATTCGCTCATTATTATAAATTAATTAAATGAAATTAGAATTCCCTAAATAAAAACTAATTGAATAAGATCTGCTCATTAAACTTAAATTGATGATTGCTTAAAATGTGTAGTAACGTAACTCAATTTTACTAACATTAAAGATTGTAAAAAAAGTGTCAAAAATACTAATATTAAGGGTAGATTCTGTTAATCTTCATAGAATTGACACTAATTAGTAGGGTATTGTCACAGGAACGTTTCCATTGGTGCATATCATAATAATTTAAAATGACAATGTCTGAGAAAAAGCAATATAAAATTTTCTAAAAAAATATTTCATAAACCGTAATATCTAACCTCAAAAACAAATTTTAAGAACACTTTAAGTTTTTGTATTAAAGGGTTAACATAACCACTCCATTCTTCATTTTTTATTTATTTATTGTAGTAACCAATATAAATTATAAAAAATAAATAAAAAAATATATTTTATGAAATAAAATTAAATAATTCATACAATAGCACATACGTAGTTATAAAATTGAACTGTAAACAGCTCACAAAAATTTGTAATATTTTACAATTATGTAATAATGATTTAATCATTGATTCAGAATTATTTTGTAGGAAAAAAATTCCTATAAAATCAGAATTCTTGACCCAAATAAAATTTAATCAGATTATTTATAATTTAAGAGCAGTTTATATGTTTAATAGTCTTCAGCCAGTCACTTTATCTTTGATTTTAATTTATGATAGTAAAATTGTGATTTGAAATTGCAGGTTAAAAATGAAATAAACATTTATCAAACAGGGGAGGAAATAAGTATTCGTATATCACACAAAAAAATAACACAAACCATTTTTCATAGGATGCTCTATTATGGTGTAGGAAAAAACATAATATATTGAATAATATTAAACAAAAGTTATTTCTACTAATTTAATTTAATATCGAAATTGAAAAAATCGTCCAAACAATGGTCTATGTTATTTTTTATTTTATTTTATTTTATTTATTTTTTTTGTGAAATTGGGTTTTTGAACAATTTTATTTATAAACACAGTGTAACCACAAACTAATTTAAGAGTGGGAGAGTGGGGGTGTCTTTAAATGATCTTGATGTAAACTATTAATGATAAAACATAACAGTCAGACCAAATAATGGTTTGTTACATTCAAGCAAAAAATGTGTTACCCTAATGTGTAATTAGGGGTCTGCTTTCATTAATCTGTAAATTAAAAAATACCCACATGGATCAATTTTTGGCATTCATTTCAATTCAATTGGTTAAATCAATAAATTAAAGTGATCACATTTACGATACTTTTACATAAAATTTTTTAAAAAATGCATCAATTCAGACGATCTTAATTTTTATCAAGAGAAATCGGTCTTTCCTAAAATAAAAAAAAATGTTAAAGAAACTGGCTGTAATAGATTATTTTTTTAATTGTTTTACAAATGCTCAATATCCCAAGATCTTGGTTTATGTTTTTGAAAATTAAAATTCATGGAATTAAAAATGTTATTCCATGTTAATTGTTTGTTAATGAAATATCAGTTATCATCTACATAGCAGATTTTGATGTTATTTAGTAATAATATTTTCATTAAAAAAAAAAAAAAAATTAATGATGTGTTTGTATATAGTGTAACATTGAATGTGATATTAAAATAAATATAGTAATTCCTCTAGTAGATACGACTTAAATTCTAAAAAAAAATATATATAAAAAACATAAAAAAATAATGCAGTTTTAAACTAACTGAAACACATTCTTTTGTCACAATTTCTTATAAAAAAGAATATTTATATTGTTAAAATAAGTATTAAACTTTCAAAGGAATATAAAATAAGGCAATATTTAAATCGATGTTATCAGATATTTGCTTATTGTAACAATGTGTATTATAACTTGTTATGGTATGTTGTAATACATTTATTTTTAGTGCTGTTCTGCACTGTTATTGTATAATAAACAAGAAAGCAATGATAATGAAATTTGCTAGTAAAGTATTTGTATAAATATAAACCGATAGTATTACTGTTAAATTGTTATATGATAAAAGTAAAATTTTATTTTAAGAGGACTTATAAATAAACAAGTAGATAGTCATTAATAAAAAAACAAAAAAGTTATGGTTGTTTTCATGCTTTTTACCTAATTTTTTTTCCAATTTCCTTATACAATTTTGTCATAATAAAGTCATTTCAGTAAAAATATCAAAATGTCAGCTTCAAAATAAATGGTTAAAATAGCGAATAATCTCCAATAAAAATAGAAAGGGAGGGAGAAAATCGTTTCACCCCCACCCTACAATATTTCAAAAAACAAAAATAAAATAAAAATCAATAACAATTAATCTACATGAATAAATAAAATGTGTAAACTAAAATCAATTAAAAAAATAAGAAAAGTGGATTAGATGGCTAAGCTAAGATCTGGAAGTAAGTACGCAAATATATTACCATGCTCCATTTTCCTATTATTGAAATTTTAGTTTATATTCAAAGATAATTGTATTTAGTAACATATCCTAGAATTTTACGGTTCATTCATGCGCACCCTTCCATTTTTATGTGAATATATTATCACATTTCCCACGGCAAATTTGAAACATCGAAGAATTGAGAGTTCATCATATAGCCTCAAACCTTTAAATAAATATATTTAATATATTTCAATTCTTTGTTAACATATATATATATATATATATATATATATATATATATGTATATATACACCTGTAAGAGATATATATATATAGATAGTTAGTAAACTTTATTCTGGGATGAGGCTCCTTATGAATAACAGAATGAACAAAAAAAATAAAAATTACATTAGTCAATATTATAGGATATGTACAGTATCTTCAGTGAAATTATATTAAAACAAATAAAAATAACACCATTTTGAGATACATATATATATATATATATATATATATTTAATATCCAAATAAGTAAGAAAATATGAATATCTATGCTAAAATTAATTACGAAAATATGAAGTTGATTAGGTGGCTAAGTTAAGGCCTAGAAGTGGGTTCGCAAATATTTTACCATGCCCTATCTCTCTATTATTGAAATTTTACTTTATAATCAAAGATAATTTTGTTAGTTAAAAATATATTTTAGTTAATTCTATACATATACTTTAGTATTACATTGATTGTATTACAATTATTATATCGATCATGTTAATTACCACTCATAATTTTTATACATAATATAAACTCCCAAGACAATTTTTGAGGGTTCTGTAGCTCCCATTCCCCAACCAGAATGGAAAGTCTGGGCCTGGCCACAGGCGGATCTACGGGGGGGAGGAGGGCTTTTGGGCTGAAGCCCCCTCCCCAAAATGGTAAAATATAACCATGTTTTATCGAAAAAAACATTAAAAAATTATCTCTTAAAGTATAATTATTCGTGTAATTACATTTAAAAGGGCTTTAGGAATCACTTAAACACCAGTTCATATAGGTAGTTAGTTTCTTTCTTATTTATCAAAGTAATTATTGTTATTTTTATGAAAAAATAAGCTTTCGGGCTGAAGCCCCCCAAAATAAATCCTGGATCTGCTAGTGGGCCTGGCTGATATCGATAAAGAACATCGAAACTAGCCCGATGTCGCAACAACTATAACATTAATGAAATGTGTAAAAGTAACACACATTAGTGCTGACCCAAATTATCTTTGATTTCTCTTGAAAAACCGATAGTGAATGCCTCAGAATGAGAAAAAATACAAGCATAGAGAAGCACCCTATTAACACATTCGTGTTTAGTTTGTAAAATGTGTAAATGTACCTAAATATGTAAATATACATATATATAATAAAGCCGTGTTTAGACATTTCAATTTATATATTTGTTTGTCTCATAGCTCTTAAAAGTTTAAAATCTCTAAACGCACCTTAAAATAGAAGTGAGTTGTTTCTGTGGTCTAAAGTTTGTGCCCCCTGTCTAATCGATTATTTTTTATCCCGCGAACTGTTTAGTAAAAGTAATCGATTATTTTATCAGTTAGCTGCTCCTCTGACCGGGAAGAGATTTAAATTCAAACTACGCTCATCGTTTAATATATTTATAATGAAAAATATATATTAATGTGATATAAGCATAATTACGTTAAAACGTTTATTAAATAATGTACAATCTAAATAAATAACCTGTAGTTGGTGTACATGAATAAGGATAAACATTCAAATTATATTGAAAATACCTCTATACTATATTCTGTTTTATTAATACCTTATCTTGATGAGATAAATAAATAAAATCTTAAACTAATTGGTTATTGTCTCCAATTTTACTATTTGTAACTTTGTACATATTTTCTAAATTTTCTAGACTTGGTTTCAAGATTGATAAAGTTGAATTATATTTAAAATTTGCTTTGCTAGATTATAGAAATAAATTAAATTAGTGAAAATATTCCTATTATAAATAAGAGCGATAGCAAATATTTCAAAAGTATGCATTTATTGGCAAAAACTAATACAAAAATAATGATTTGGGATTGCATTGTTGTTTTATGCAACGTCATATTTAAATCAGATTACGTTTATTTTTTTTATAAAAAGATCTGTAAGATGGAATATAAAAATGTACAATAAAGTTTAAGACAGTTCTAGTCGCTGAGTACTGCTAGAATCTAATTTTGATAACATATTTGAGATATTTTCTCGATTTTTCAATTTAAAATATATATCGTGTAATGTGTTGATGTTTCTCAAAGGACCTACAAATAATGAAATTATCACTGACCCTGTACTCATACTAACGTCATGCGCCAGTAGTTGAGTACTACTCAAAGAAAATTAATTTATTCACAGTGAAGTTTAATATTATTCTGACACGGTTATAACACTGATAGGTTATCAGTAGATGATTATATACTCATGGCAGTCCATTCGCGGAGTATCTTGTTTTGTAAAGAAATTTCCAAGTTTTTATTTTTCAGAAAAAATGTCGTTAGGAGATCATCCCACTTTCAATATTACCCGGACAAGAATACACCTGTTGAAGGTAAAATAATAACTATAGAAGTAATCACCAGATTTTAGCTTAATAAATAAATAAATTTTTGATACATAATGTTTAGACATCTTTTAGTTGTTATTTACAAATATAGAAAGTTCTCTATTATGTCTTTCAATATTATTTATATTTGGTAAATTTTAATTTATGCTAGGAGAAACCACCAAGCTGAATATGTTTCAAGCCATTGGCAATGCTATGGATTTAGCACTAGAAAAGGATCAATCTGCTGGTAATTAAATTATCAATACATAATTAACTCTTTTATTTTATTTACAAAATGCAATTAGTTTACTGATTTAATAGTTTTTCAAATGATATGCATAAGTAACCTGGTCGAAATGAACCTGTAAGCTCAATGATCTTGATCAATAATTTATTCAATTATTTTCATGTTTGTTGTTTTAAATATTATATCTCAATTACATAAATAAAAAATGTAATAATTTTTTATCAATTTTATAAATATACTGGATAAATTGATTTTATCTTTTATATTTAAATTTTACGAAAAGTTAAAGGATCTTTTTTCTAGTGGTTGAGATTCTGAAGGCCACATGATGTAACTTATGTAAATTTTTTTTTTTGTATTTATGTCATGTTCCTTCAACTATATCTGAGATCAACAACATTTTATTTATTGAATGATGGTTTCTATTATTTTGATTCTATTGGTTTGGTATTCATTTGGTTGCTCTTATACCCAATAAACAATATCAGTCGTTTTAATAGTTTTTTGTCAGCAAACAATAGTCTGGAACACAATTTAATTGTTTGCCATAAGCCTTTTAATTGGCATAAACAAATTGGAAGAAAATAAATAATAATTCTAATTGCTGAAAATAAATCTATATTTCACAAAAAGTATTAAAGTTTTAGTATTCATTCTATCCATTATTTTATTTATATCTTAATGGAGGTTTTAGACTGTATTATAAATTATAATATAGTAACTTCTTTTTTATTACTATAATATTAAATAATATTACTATAATTTTTAACATAGAAACTTTTTTCTATCAATATGTTGGGAGTGGAGTAGTTCAGTGAGTTAGGCACTAGGTCCCGGGTTCTAGTCCGTCTGATGACAAGTAATGTTTCATTGGCCGTAGATCCTCAAATTCATTGGAAGGAGGTACTCTTAATTAATTATTTAATTAAAGGAAAAATCTTGCGGTTGAGCATGATCCTGGCCCGATCACCTCTCTGAACAACCATTGGTCTTGAAAAAGTACTTTCTAACAAAGTAGTGAATGCAAGACTCTTTGTTGGCTGTAGCGCTACAGATTTTTTTTCTTGGATTGTTGGTGAAGTTGACATCTTTAAATAAATAAAAAAAATCTTAGTGTAGTAGTGGAGGTCCCTTTGACACCCAAAACTCAAAACTCTTCTGATAATACATTTATTCAGGTTTCTGTATGTAAGCATGGGATGGGAATAGATTTGCAATGAGCCACTATGTTTAGTGAAATTCAACCGACTACTACATCAAGTTTTTCTGGTATCTCTAAAAATGCGAGCAACAGGCCTTAAAGAATCTTAAATCAAGTTATATTCAGTTATGGAGTTAATATTTGTCTATATTAAAAAACGAAATTATAGTGATCCTTGTGAGATGTTATAAAACCTTTTTCAATTAATGCCACATCTAATGCAAAATTATTTTTTCAAATAAGACTGGTAGTTGCTGAATTAGCACGTTGAAACGAAAAAACTTTATATTTTAATATAGGCGTTTAAGAATTTCAGGAAAGAACTATATGCTAATAGTGTAAATGAATCACATCTTTCAGTTCTCTTTGGTGAAGATGTTGCTTTCGGTGGTGTGTTCCGGTGTTCAATGGGTCTTCAAAAAAAACACGGCAAAGACCGTGTATTTAATACACCTCTTTGTGAACAAGGTATCGTAGGATTCGGTATTGGTCTTGCAGTAGCTGGTTCTACTGCAATAGCTGAAATACAATTCGCAGATTATATTTTCCCAGCTTTTGATCAGGTAAATTAAAACATAATATTTTAACATTAAGTATGTAATTTTTTATGTTCATGTTTAAGATAAAGTTGCTTGTTTAAGATAGTGAATGAAGCTGCAAAATATCGGTATCGAAGTGGGGGTATGTTCGATTGCGGACGTTTAACAATTAGAGCTCCTTGTGGTGCGGTTGGTCATGGAGCTTTATATCACTCGCAGATGCCAGAAGCTTATTTCGCCCATACTCCTGGGCTTAAGGTAAATAAAAGGAGTATATTATTAATATTATTTTAAGATTGCTGAAGTAAATATGAATATTCGCTCATTTAAACTCTAGTTTCCTGTTATTTTCTATCTCTAATATTTTAATGTTAATAATGGAATCTCAGACTATTGCCGTACCCCGTTTTGTACAACCTATTTTAATGCTAATTCGCTGTAACACAATTTTTTTTAAATATATTTATTTTATACATTTTTATATTTATATTAATAAATAAATTTAAATTATTATAACTAAAATTTTTGGAAACAGAAATTTTTCATTATAGGGGGATTTATAAACAATACATACCGACATCCACACTGCAAAAGCTTGTAAGAATAAAAACTAAAAATTTTCAGAAGATGAAAAAACTATGTAACTTTTGTTCTATGAGCATTCTATTTTCGGTTCAATTTTTCTTGCAGGCCTAAGACCAAGATGTAATGCTCTATGTAAATTTTTTTATCGTATTTATACCAAATAATCTTTTAGAAGCATTTCTCCTAATTTATAGTTTTTTTGTTACTTTGGAAAACAGAGGTTTTAGGTAAAAGCAATCAAATTTATTGTGGTAGTATAAATTTCGACCTTCCTACTCTGGTTAAAATAGGTTTGATTGTACCTCTAGAACAACACTCCTCTCCTCTCCCCCATGAAACATTGACCATAATAATTGCTTGGCGTTATAATGATGAGCCTACTCCATACACTTTAATCGGGAATCATGATGTGGTTTTCCAGGATGTCAGAGACCAGGTGGAGGTATAAATCATGGAAGGTTCCAGAGAAAGAAATATGTTCTTAGTGTCCTTGTTGACTCTGAGTAACCAGCAGTCCTTTATACACATTATCTTGATAAATACACTACCGTGGAATCCATGGTTTGTAGCAACATTAGTATACTTGAGATTTGACCTCTCTTTCCAGTTTGTAAGAAGACCACATCATGCAGTAAAGGTATCTATGGTACTAAGTGCCAAGCCACAAAAAAAAAAATAATAATAATAATAATGAAAACATCAACTAGGGGGGATTAATTTTATGAAATATCATTTTTTTTTGTTCTATATTCATAAAGTAATAATATTTACAATATATAAAATTATAGTTGTGTATAAATTATTATATGTCTTTCCGACTCTTATTCAGCAAAAGTTTTCCAAAGAAGGGCAAAAGTTTAATTTTACAGAAGATGAAATAATGAAAATTTCCCTCGCTTACAGTATGCAGGTCCAACTTTTAGTTTTCAAGATATTTTAATCCAAATGCAAAACCATTCAATTAGTCAACTGGAGCCGACTTAACCCGGATGAGTGTTATATATTCGAGCGTGAGAATCAGTTTCATTCACTGCTCACAAAAAAAAGTGCAAAACCCCCCTAAAGCAGATTTCACTAAAAAAAAATCAACATTTTAAAATAGACCAATGAAGAGACCGAGAAATATTATTGATTTATCTTTTTTTTTTATACCTTAGATTGCTATGCCAAATGGGATTATTTTACCTTGTGTTGTTTATTAGGTTCGCACTAATCTTTTTTTTATCTGAAAATATTTTAAACGTATATTTTGGAAAATTCAAAACATCCTTTGTAATTGTTATTTAAATGATACTAAAATTTTACTTTTCATGAGGTTTTACTTTGTAATTCTATTTTTAATTTTTGGAATTAATTGTATTTGATGTTTTCTTGTTAAAGATTGTTATACCACGAGGACCAGTGAAAGCTAAAGGTCTCCTGTTATCTTGCATTGAAGATAAGGACCCGTGCATCTTCTTCGAGCCAAAAGTTCTTTACAGGGCTGCGGTTGAAGAAGTCCCTAAACAGGCCTATAAATTGCCATTGGGAAAGGCTGAAATTGTGGTTCCTGGTAACTTGATTAATTTATAATTAGCGTGTTCTATTATTTTCTATTACACTGAAATGCTGTTATCTATTGATCAAGTATCAGATTTTTACTAACTATAAAAAATATTCTTTTTTATCTTCATTCCTCTATACATTAATTTGGCTGTGTTATAAAATAGGTAAATATATTATCTAATATATATTATGTTATTAACTGATAATCAGCATTTTTATAATATTATTATATATTTTATAGCAATATATTTTCATTTAACGAGAGATATAAACCTAGTAAGATGTTGGGATAAAAGTATTTGTAATACAGGGTGTCTACCAAAACGTTTTTGTGAAATATCTTGACTTATCCAAGTTTTGAGGACATTTTTGAAAAATTCATGGTCATTGAAAATAACCATAATAGGGCATAACTTATATTAACATAATTGGTACAATATCTAAAATTTTAAATATTGCAATTGATGATATTGGAGGCCTTACAAAACATTATATTTTTTTATAGTAGAAGTTGGTTGGAGGGGTGTTGAAATTAAATACATAAATAAAAATCTTTTTTTTTATTGTGGACCAAAATTTCAGTTTGAGCTTTAGCTCTTCTTCCGGGCAACAGTATAAGATCCTTGCTGTATGTGATATATATAAATATAATATAATATAATATATAATATACACATATATAGATATAATATACACATAAGTATTATGATTATACTTATGTGTGAATATATATCACTATTACGTAAACTTATTGAGACCAATGATGATTTTGAATCATCACATCAAAAAGCTTCTCCTGGCTTTTAAAATTTCCTGAGTTTTTCAGGTTAAAAAAATTCCCTAATTATTCCAAGTATTACAGCTCCGGTAGACACTCTTGATATAATTAAATAGGAGAAAAGTATGCATATTAAGACTTAAATTACTTTCCATTAAAATGATAATGCTAAAGTTATTTTTTTTTAATTATTCAGGTAACCACGTGACTTTAATAGGATGGGGTACACAAGTGCATGTCCTGTGTGAAGTTGCAGAGATTGCTAAAAATTCTCACGGTATCTCTTGTGAAGTGATCGACTTAATGACGATTCTGCCCTGGGATTCAGAAACTGTTTTCAATGTATGTTCCTCATTATATCATTTAACAAATATTTATTTATATTAAATATCGTGTAGGTTAAAAAGTTTAAAATAAAACTAACTCTCCTCATTATAATTTGATTTTTTGCAACTATCATATCAATTTTATTAACACTCTCCTTAAGTTCTTAATTCATCATATTTAATTTATGATAAGTGGCATTTGGTTTATTTTGTTTTAATATAATTTGTTTTTTCCTAGTCAGCTAAGAAAACTGGGCGGATCATCATTGCTCATGAAGCCCCTATGACTTGTGGTTTTGGATCTGAGCTTGCAGCATCGATTCAGGTGATATTTGTTGAATTATTTATTTTTAAAATAGATCGAAATAGGCCTTTCTGTTTATTTGAATAACATTAGCCCATAGAAGAATTTTAAAGAATTGAGTAGCTGGCTAAGTATGAGTGTGAACTAAAAAAAAAAATTATTTTGAGATACACCTATCAAATATAAAAATGATTTTTGTTCCTGGGCATCTGGATAGTTCATACAGTTTATACAGTTGATAGGACAAGACTCATGCTTGGGAGAATTCCAGTCATTCCATACTTCCAACCACTTTTCAGTTATGCTCACGATGTCAGAGCATTTTTGCATTTTAGCATTTTAGCATTCTTACATTTTTGAATTTAATTGTCAGCTGCATGAAACGTGGGTTCACCACTACACTCTCAAATCCAAACAAGCCAAAAAGCTAATACACACTATAACTGTGTATTAGCATTATAAGTTTTCTTTAATTAAATCACTGATTTTCGAGTACGCTCTTGGACTATAAAAAGGTCGGATCCTTATATTATGGAAGAAAATTTCAGTAAAAACCTCCACCTATATTCAAGAAAGTGTAGACAAGTTTAAAATATGATTGATATGTTTCTATTATATGCAAATAAATTTAGTTGTAAATATTAATAATTAATTGATGAAGTATTGACTTTAACATTTTCATTTATTGTTTATTTACAGGAAGACTGCTTTCTTCATTTAGAAGCTCCTGTGAGGCGAGTGACCGGATTTGATTCCCCTTTTCCCCACATCTTTGAACCTTTTTATTTACCTGACAAGTGGAGATGTCTAGATGCAGTAATAAACATTGTGAAGTATTGATTGGGACTGTTTTGGCTATGAAATTTTTTACTATAACATATGAAGTAAGTTTGCTTAATTTTCAGTGTTGCTGATCATTGTTTAAATTAAATAATATATAAGTTTTTTTGAAGGAAAAGTAGTATGGAAAGAATCAATACCACTTCTACTTATGGGCCAATCAGTTGAATCTTAAAGTCCAACAACCTTTCTATTCCTTGCTCCTAAAAGCTTTTTAAGGCATTTTTCATTGCACAAAGATCTAGGAATTTATACTAATCCACTTAATTCTTTCTATTAAATTAAAAATAAAGAAGATTTAATTACATTATTTTTTTTTTATGTTAGCTTATATACCTGTAGATCTTTTGCCCTCTTAACAACTCTACCCCATCTCCGCCTATCTTGGGCTATTTCTTCCCAGTGATCTACATGCAGCTCTTTTGCATCTATTTTGATTTGATCTATCGATCTGCTTATTGCGTGGTCTTTTTCCTACTATTGAGGCATTCATTGTCATGTAGAGTCTTCAAGATGGATTGCTCTGAGCTACATGCCCTGCCTATCTAAACTTCCGTTCAGAGTTGAGCTATGAGTCTCCTCTAAACCATTGAATTCCTCTCGTATCCAAAATCCTCAATGCTCTTAACTTTGTTACAAATAAAATCATCTATAATGACCTTAATTTTACATTTGTTTCCAATTTGTCCTAATCCAGATACCTATCCTTCCATAAACTTTAGAACCATCTAAACCCTCTCATTTCTAACCTTACTTCCCCGATAACCCCCCAAGGTGTCTAAAACGAAGATGGTATCATGATCTCATAGTGTAGAAATTATATTAGATTGATACCAATGAGTAGTTTCTATACATGCCTATCCATATCATTATATTTACTAGATGTAAATTCACTTCACATTTACTAGATGTATTATTATTTAATATAGTTGTAAATTTCATGAATAAATAAAAAAATTAAAGATTTTCTTGCCAGTGAACTATAGTATTAGTCGTAATATTTTTCATGTCTCACTTTTATTGTTAAGGTTGGTTCTAATTGATATTTTTTTTTAATTTTATACTTAAATAACTATTAGTTATGTCCAAAATTGAATTTAATTTAAAAAATGTTTTTTCTGTTTCAGAATTGGGAAGATATACATTTTAAAAAAAAAATTTTATAATGATTTCATAGCCCTTATGTATTGGTGGAATCTCTTTTATATGACTGCAAATTATTTTTAAATACGGGTGAACTGTTCCTACTCATTTTTAATTCCTCAGTTTTACTTTCACTTTTTGTATATATGAACTTATGGTTGGAGGACCTATGGGTACTTATTGATTGATACATACTGGTATCTGAAACTACCAAGCAAGAAATTTTCAAACAGAAAATGAAAGAAACGTTGGGGATGTTTAAGACTTATCTTTTTAATATAATATTTTAAATATATATTTTATCGATATTATAGTTCTTTAATTACTTTATAAACCTTTTTTACCTTTTCTTAGTATTAAAAGTACACTTTTTTTTTTTTTACTTTCACTTATCTATGAATGTAACATAAAATAAAAGGATAGTATTGCAATACTGCAAAATTCTGAATCTCAGTATTCAATGTAAATACAATAAATAAAGTCCCTTGAATCCAAATAACCAAATCCCACAAAGTGGTGTGTGTTTAAGTGTAATTGAACATCCTACCTCAAGAACATATATGTCTTGAATGTTACAGCAACATTTTCCCTAAAATCTGCAAACCGGAAGTGCCATCGATTTTACACATTTTTACAATTTTCTCGTAAATGGCTCTAACAATTTTATTTAAATTCTTTACATTGATGTACAATTAAATGGTGTTTAATATCAGCCAGGTATTATCCTCATTGATGTATTGAACTGGATATAAATGTAGACATTTTCTGAATGTATTTCTCCACAATACTTTTAATTTGGTTTAATTTAAATGATTAACTATCTCCTATTTTGAGTAGTTATGAAAAATGGCTCAATATGAACTACGAAATAAATTGATAATTGATTAAAAGAAAAATATATTTTCATGTTTAAAATCAAATTTCGAAATTAACAGTCAGAACAGAACATTTTAAAGCTGAAGTTTTAGAAAAGTTAATGTCTAATAAATAGTCATAGAAATTACTGTAGAGTGACAAAAAGTTAAAATAAAATAATAACTCCATTAAATCATCAATTATTAATTAACTATTTTATTCTTAAGTGAGAGAAGTGGATTATAAAAATATTTCATGAAATATTCTCTCTAAATGAACTCTAAAAGTACGGGTTTTAAGAGGAGCATAATGGTTAAGGAAACCAACAAGGTTAGAGGAAAGGTATTCCACCATGTCATCGATGGAGTAGTGGAAGTAGAAGGATTCTAAGGAATCAAGATAAGGTCTGATGTATTCAATGGTTAGGGAATCAAGATCTCTCCAGGAAATTTGTTTGGGAACAAGGGTAGAAATAATAATGTTGTATGAGATGAAAGAAAGAAAACAGGGTTTTGCGAGGAGGATAACAGGGTTTGAGAAGAATCAATGATAAACAAGTCTAGCCAGGTATCAGTGGACTGGGTATGATGGGAGAGTTGAAAAGGTACTATAAGTAGGTCGAGGGAGAAAAACAGATCAATAAGGTATGTTCTGTCCGAAGAGACTGAAAGGACGTTGATGTTGAGATCACCTGCAATAATGACATTTTTAAACATATATTTTTTTAAAATATATGTTTATAATCTTAAATAAATTTTGTTTTTTAAAAACTAAGTAGAGATAATATTTATATACATAGGGTATTACAGTTTTGTAAATAATGGGTTTATCTATTTAAGTATTCTTCTGTTTTGTTTGAAATCATAAAAAGCAATACTGTTGGGATTCATTGGAGAAAATTTCTTGAAGGACTGGTATCTGTAGACCTGTCAAGAAAGGAAGCTAGAGTTTCACATAATAACATATGATGATTACCTAATGAAATATCTGTATAGAATAGAAAAGGAAGATAAATAGTGACCTATAACATCAATAAAAGGCAGACTGCATTCTGCAATCTATGCAATTGGGGTGCAATTATATATGTGACGCATTTCAATGTATGCTCTCACTTATTAGAAAAAAGAGATAAATCACCATCCAGATTAGAATGCTACTTGGATGCACGATTTTGATGAAGGAAGTCAATAAAGAGTGACACAATTAAAAAAATGACCATAAAAATAAAGTTTGTGTTATGCATAATTTTGCCGATATGCAAACTTTTTCAATCTTGAATGATCCTGTGTTACTGTTGGAGTAACCAAAAAGGTACTACAAATATTTTTATAATTATCCCCTTTACCTTAGCTCATATGTACAAGATAAAAAAATCAGAATAAATAATATAAGAGTAGGTTTGTTTATTTTTACAAATATACAATTTAAATAATATAAGTAATTCAAGCATTTGCTTTTATAACTTACAATAACAATATTACGTAGATACTGTTATTGATATATCTCACATTTTTTGACAATTAAACCTCAATATCTCTTCAAAATTAGAATAATTTCACAAAATTAAGTATTCCATTAAAAATTTCATGAAATTAAGAATGTTTTTATTGCAAATTCCCAAGAAATAATATAAACGAAAAAGCTAAAACAGAAGAGTTTGATTGGTGATGTTAAACACTTTTGTTTGACTATCCTTCTGTATAACTCACATTTTTTCTAGGATACCATGCATAATTTAAAATCAAGCTGTTTTTTACTTTCACGTACATATATATGTAACATATAGTAAAGGAAAATATTGCGATTGTGAAAATTTTTGAATCTGAGTTTTCAATGGAAATACATCTTTTGAGGTCCCGCGAGCATAAATAACCAAATCTCGAAAAATGATGTATGTGTGAACAGTCTAGCTCACAACTAAAAGCTGCACGAAACTTAAACTTCATATTTAAGTCAGGTATATGCCTGGGATGTTACAGAAAACTTTTCCTTAGAATCGGCTAATCGGAAATACCACTTTATATTATTGATTTTATAATTTTCTCTTTTTTATTTTTTTTTTACATTTCTCTTGTTACTGGCAGCAGATAGAAAACATCAAAAACAAAAACACTAGCATAGAGAAACAACCACTTATGAATATATTTGTATTTCCCATAGTTTGTGAAATGCTTAAACGCACCTTTACATATTATATTCAGTCATAAATGGAAATATAAAGTGACGCAAACGTGTAAATTTAACAGTCATTGAGGAGAGAAAACATATTAATTAATTGTTTTAAATGAATATGTTATACCATCTGTAAGTTTTACTTTCACTTCTCTATATATGACAATACCTAATTCTACTTTAAGTAGGGTGGTAAGTGAAAGTTGTGTGATGTGCACACCGCAACAGATTTTTAATATTTCTAAAATAAAATGAAAACATTATGAAATCCACATCAGATATCTATCCAACAGCTAAAGTAACTTCTCTCCTCAATAATTGAAAAATAAACCAAAATTGAGAAATTTAAGATCAAAGAATCTTCTTCAAATAGCGAAAAATGAATGTCATCAAAGGAATACTAAATTTTAAAATGATTCCGCTCTGTTATGAGGGATTATCTGAAGCACCCCAAAATTCAATAATTATTTTTTGAAGTGAAAACTTCATTAGACGCTTTTTGCATTTTTTTTTTTTTTTTTTTTGTGAAGATTGAATCAGATTGAGTCGTGAAATCTTCCATGTGTAACGCTCGGGTAAAGTCGGCTGGAATCGACTAATTGAAATTTTTTTTCATATGAATTAAAATGTCTCAAAAAATAAATAAATTCTATTTTAAATTGGAATCAACGATAAATTCACAAGTCACTCAGTTTACACAGATTTATTTTAAAAAAACAAAAAGCAACTATAACTTATTAAAATCTACTAATTACAAACTGACACACATTTTAACTGAACACGAATATACCAAATCATACTTAAAAAAGTTCAATTTAATTAGTGACGGTACTTCCTCTCTAGTCGGACAAGAACAAACGTTTTAACATATAATATATGATTGTCAGTTATACCAGAAGTAGAGATCTACATTGATTATGACAATACTTCTGAACTCAAAAAAACTGGCTATTATCAGAATTTGACTTTTACAATAATAGTCCGTGGTACAGACACGGGCGGATCTACGGGGGAGAGGGGGAGCTTTCGGGCTGAAGCCTCCCCCCCCCCCCCCCAAAATGGAAAAATATAACCATGTTTTATGGGGAAAATTTTTTTAAAAATACCTCTTAAAGTATGATTGTTCCTGTAATTACATTTAAAAGTACTTAAGGAACAACTTAAACACCATTTAATATAGGTAGTTAGTTTCTTTCTGTTTTTCAAAGTAATTATCGTTATTTTTATGGAAAAAAAAGGTTTCGGGCTAAAGCCCCACCAAAATTAAATCCTGGATCCGCTAGTGGTACAGACCCCTTTTTATCAAATTATTAACATCCGTCTAAAACTTCGTAAATGGCTTCATCTCATCGTAACCTACAAATATTCTATTTACGAAAATTCTCGGAATTGGAGCGTTTTCAATCTGGAGATCGGCAAACTTTGTCTATTTAATTAGGTACTAAAAACCTGTAAATACCCATTGACTTTCCACTTCGATCGTAAGATAATTTGAGCACAAAATCGAGAAATATGGTGGTCTTCAAAAATATGGAGCCGTTTGGCGTGACCTACATCCCCAAATTGTCAAAATAACGAGATTGTATAGGCCAAACGGCCTAATATTTTTGTAGGCCACCTTTTTTTATCGATTTTGTCATGATATTATCTGATGTTTGTAAATAGTACAGCTTATGTTAATTGATACAATGTTATAATTAAGGTAGCTAATACAAAATTAAATCCTGAATCCGCTATTGCAATTTGACATTAAAATAAATAAATAATAAGGCTTTGCAAACCCGAAGGTTCGATGCCGACACCACCACTTTGACATTATCGAGAAATATTTCATTTCTCCCCTTTCCCTCCCCTATAAATGTAGGTAGTAACGTTTCTGTTGGTTGTTTTCTGGGAAGTTCCTAATTCAATCACTGGCTTCCGCTGTCTGAGCTTAGTTTGTGTTTCACGTTTGTTCGGTTATGTTTCTTTTTCTAACGAAAAGCTTAGTTCAAAAGTGGCGATATGGAGTGAAATCAAAACGTCTATTAATAATATAAAATATTGTTTATCACGATTTAATTCTTTCAGAAACCGTAATGTAATTTAAGCAATAATATTTAATGATCAGGATTATTTTTAAAAAAAGTCATAATTATAATCGGTATTGGAAATTTATTTTAAAAAGTTAAAATTCACTATATTGATGAATAAATCCGTTTGTTATTGATATACTGTCTTTTAAAAATCGAGAATATTTGGAATATATTACATATCTAAATTATCATTTTCTACAAATTAA